ATTGAAATCGCATCATATGACCCCTTTAAAAACAAACCTTACCAGCAAAAAATGTTAAAGAATAGTAATCAGAAACACATTTAAATCGCATGTGAGAGTGCCTGAAGGGACTGAACCAATACAAATGGGAAACACTCTTGAGTATTTAAATTAAAAATAAATTATATATATATATATATATATATTTAAAATACATATATATATATAAATATATATACATATGTGCATATATAGTGTCTTGCAGCTAAGCACTCCTTATTTGTATGTTCTTTATGGGAAAATGCTTATGCAATTTAGCTTATTAGTTTCATATTCTGGTCGCATCTGCTTGCTGGTATATAATTTGCATCATCAAATATTTTATTAAAAAAAAACAGTAGTTTACAGCAGAAACGGTGACAAATGATCGTGACTCCTGGCACGAACTCTGGCAGCTGATACATACAAATGTATAATAATAATAATTAGGGCTGAGTTTTGACACAAATTTCACGATTCAATTTGATTCTCATTCACAAGCTTGCGATTTGATTTGATTACCAATTCGATTCGATTTGATTTGATTACCAATTCGATTCGATTCGATTCAATATTGATTATTTTGGATATATATCAGGTACAGTACATACCAAATTTTCTCAAGGAAATAAAATCCTTGCATAAAAGCATTGGCATAAAAAAATCTAATGCTGTAAAATATACATGAGAGTCAGTTGGTACTACATTACTAAAATATTGAAGGTTATAATTGACTGATTTGTTAAAATTACACTTAATGAAGTTTTTTAAATAATAAAGTTACAATTACATAATAATATTTCTACTTCAATTCATTTTTTAAAAGAAATATATAAACACGATAGTGGCTGTCATAAAAACTTGATGGATTTATTCAAACATAAATTAAACATTGAAGAACAGTAAAATGTATAATGAATATGTTATATGGTGCATTTATTTAGCAAAATGCCCCTCTCTACAGTTTATTTTTCTATCTGACTAATGAGTTTATGGTCACCGAATATGTTTTTCTGAGGTAAATGTGATGTTACATGACATTGTTAACAAGACGTTATATTGACGTCTTTGCGTGGAGGAAACACTGATTGTTTTTTTTTTTTTATTATGCAAAAATTATACAAAGATTTGTACAAACATATACAACTCGCAGCAAGTACAAAAACAAATAAATAATCATAATATGTAAAGTGAAACAATTCAAGCCAGGGGATTTTAAAAGAAAATTAATGCCACCCAAAGAATTAAATATGTAATTGGGGAAAACATTCCATATACTATCTTTATTTTTAATAAATTCAATTATCCATTTTATCTTAAACACATTATTAAGATCTGTAAAGTTTAAAACTTCAAGACCACCAAAGTCTCTATTATTATTTATAATATCTTTCCGTATTTTCTTCCTCCAAATAAAAGCGTAAAGTATTTTATCTAATTCCCTGACAACATTGTTTAGAACATCTGCTGACATAGATATATAAACAGACCTTGATATCCCTTCTGCTTTTGAGAGTAGAACACGTCCATATAGGGACAGATCTCTCATAAGCCACATATTGAATCTGTTTTTAATTTTCTCAATAATAGGGTCAAAATTTAACAAGCTTCTTTGATTCAAATCTTTACACACCTTTATCCCAAGGTATGTGACATTGTCTTTAATTGGTATTCCACAAATGTCTTTCAGGAGACAATCATTAAGAGAGAATAATGTGGACTTATTCTTATTCATCTTCAATCCAGAGATTCCAGAAAATTCTTCAATACATTTAATAACTACATCCATTTCTTCACTATTTTTGACAAAAATTGTGGTATCATCCGCTAATTGGCTAAGTTTAATCTCTTTACCAAACACTGAAATTCCTTGAAAACTTGCTTTTTTGATATGAGCAGCCAAGACTTGAGTAACCAATATGAAGAGAAAGGGTGATATAGGACATCCTTGTCTTATCCCACAGCCCATATTAAATCTCTGACAGGTACCGTGAGACAACTGGACTGAACTATTAGAACCATTATAAAGCGTACGAATTGCCTTTTGAAAAAAATGACCAAAACCAAAGAAGTCAATAATTTTGAACATAAATGGATGTTCAATAGTGTCAAACGCTTTATAAAAATCGATAAATAATATAAAACAATCATCTGAGATAAGATATCTATAATCAATTAAATCCAAAATTAATCTGATATTATTTCCAATATAACGGCCTTTCAGAAAACCTGACTGCTCTTCATCAATTATTGTATTTAAATTTGTCTTAAGTCGTTTTGCAAAAATTAATGAAAAGATTTTAGCATCATTATTTAATAAACTAATTGGTCTCCAATTTTCTAAGAACAATTTGTCTTTGTTAGGCTTGGGTATAAGTGTAATTACCCCTTGTTTTAGTGATGCGGGCATTTCTCCCAAATCAATTGCTTCTTTAAAGACTGCCAATAAAAAGGGTGCAAGGTCATTACAAAAAGTTTTATAAAACTCCCCTGTCAAACCATCATTTCCAGGAGACTTATTTTCTTTGAGACTATTTATACAGTTTGTAATTTCCTGAATACTTATTTCTTTATCACATACATTTTTGTAATCTGAAGTAATCCTATTAATATTGGTTGATAAACTATTAAGAAACAAATCTGCATCATTTAGTTGATTGTTTGAACTATACAATTTACTATAAAATTGATTAACAAAACAAGATATATCTTTGGGATTATCATTAGTAAGTCCATTTATTATTCATTTGTTTACAGAAGTTATTTCTCCATTTCTTTTTTCTAAACCAAAGAAATATTTAGTATTTTTTTCTCCTGCTTCCATCCATTTTTGTCTTGACCTAACGAAAGCACCCCTAGCTTTCTCTTCATAAATATTATCCAGCTCGTTCTGCAGTGCAGCAAGTTCTAATAATTCAGTGCTTGACATATTTTTGTTATTTCTACAAGTGATGGATATTATTTCATTAATTATTTTGTTTTCATTTTCTTTTTTCTTAATAGATTTTCCATACGATATTGCAAATTTCCTTATTTCAAATTTCGCTTGTTCCCATAACTTCCCATAAGTTTGAATCAAAAAAGCCTGTTGCCAATACTTAACAATTATATTCTTAATTTGGTCACAAAAACCATTATGTTTCAATAGACTGTTATTTAACTTCCAATATCCTCTCTTAACTCTACTTGATTGACAAACTAACAGATTAATTTTAATAGATATACCTTTGTGATCTGTTAAAACTGACGGTTCAATAGTAACAAATTCAACTCTCTCTTTCATATGTTCTGAAATGAGCCAAAAATCAATACGTGATTGTTGAGATCTGTCCCTATTACTCCATGTATACAAAAGTGACTGTGGATTTTTATATCTCCATATATCAATTATGTTCAGTCGTAAACAAACACTGCTTAATTCACTTGCCATATTGTCAATTCTAGGTGGCCGTCGATCTTGTTTTCCATCAAACACCGTATTAAAGTCACCACCCCAAATTACTTCAGCAGAGGGGAATTTTGAATGTAAATGATTAATATGGGCTTCAATATCTTGAAATATTAACTCATTTGTTTTTTTTATTATTGGTGGCATATATATTTATAATAATAATTTTAACTTGGTTTATATCAATAAGTAAAGCAATCCAATGACCTTGATCATCTGTTTTGTGACTTAGAACTTTCCCTGAAAACCTGTCCTTTAAAATAGCAACACCTGCTGTTCTATTTGAGGCACCAAAAGCGAACCAAATGTCACAACCCCACTGATTCTTCCAAAAAAGCACATCATCTTTGCAGGCATGAGTTTCTTGAATGAAACAAAAATCAGCTTCTTTTCCTTTACAAAACAAGAACAGAGCTTTTCTTTTTAGCATGTTTCGTAAACCCCTGGCATTAACTGAAAAAATTCTTATTGACATGAACTTGAAAAAGAAATAACAAAAAAAACAAAAACTTGATAAACAATTAAATGAACAATGAATAAATTGGAATGTAGGTGCTGAGAGAGTATAAAGGGTACTCTTACTTCCAACTTTTCATAAAACAGTCACAATTCAGATTCAAGTGTTGAGATCCTGTTTGCTTGAATTTAACGAAAATAAAAATGACATCTTTACATAATACCAGTATCACAAAAACAAAAATCAAGTGATATCTTTACTTAGGCCTGATGTCACAGGAACATAAAACAATAACATCCTTATAAGCTTAAGGTTACCTTAGAAATAAAATAAAATAGAAAACCAGAAATAAAAAGTTCTAAGACTTGTAAGTCTAACTTGTAAGTTTCTATTGTTAAATTAATCTAACTATGGATTAATGAAGCAAACAGACTTTTTGTATCAGATCATACTATGATTCTAGACCAATGACATATAAAAGCATGGTTTAATGTTTGATTTCTTTACCATCCACTATTGCCTTGACTCCCACATAGAAGGCCCTCTTGCCTTCTTTACGTGCTTTGTCAATCACAGGCCAAAGGAGATTCCGTGTAGCTCTGTCTTTGATCGTGAGGTCTTCTTTGAAGTACATATTGTTCTTTTTGAGAAAGTCATTTCCCTTTGCTCCTTTCCATGTGAGGTCTCGAGCTGTTCTGGAAGCGAATCTTATCATTACTGGCCTCGGTTTCTTTCCCTTGGCGCGGTCTATAGGTCTTCCAACGCGATGAGCAATGTCCACATTATTCGCCACGAAGTTACGCTCTTCCTCGACAACCACCGCTTTGCAGATCTCAGTCACCCTAGATTTGACATCATCCTCGGTACGTTCAGTCAACCCCTCTAAACGCAGATTCCATCTCCGACAGTATCGATCCTGATCATTCAGTTTGTCCTCCAAATCAGAGACCCGCTTCACAATCTCTTCATTTTTGTTTTTCAAATTTTCGTTTTCTTTCCGAATGTCAAATATTTCAGAATGCACAACTTCCAGTGCTTCTTTCAAGAGGTTGATGCTGGTTGAGTTTTCTTTCACCATGTCTTTTATTTCCTCGGATGATTGTTTGATTATTTGAATGATGCTGTGCTGTACCTGACTTAAGGTTAAGTCCTCTGATGCATCTCCTTTTGCGAGCTTCTTCGGTGGCTGTGTTTTAGACGGCGTGTTTGGGAAAGAGTCACATTCGCCTCCTTTTTTGCTTCGGCAAGTGTAGGAGTGTGTGTCGTCAATAAGTCTTTTCTCCGTCATCTTTTGAACCTCAACGTCCATCTCTTCGGGAACTGACAAATCCATGGTAACTCACTCTTCTATAGAATTAAATAAACCGCAGAACTAGCGAATTTATGCCAGAATCTCAGTATCACATAAAACGAGTGTGACTTTTTTTTTTATTTATTTTTTTTTATATCAACATTAGTAAGACCTACCCGAACTTTATTTTACGCAGCCATGCAAATGCAACTAGTCATGCCGCCATCTTGCCAGCATCCTCGTGTTTAAAAAATATAAAATTCGCCTTACCCTTCATAAACTAGTCGTCCGCGCGCTTCCGCTCTATTTCAGGAAACACTGATTGATTGAGCGATCGGGCAAGTGCTCGTCACTCGTCACAAGAGGCGTGCCCTTAGCTCCGCCCAGGGCACGCCTCCAGGAGCTCGACTGTTTTCGGAGAGAAACGGAAAGCTGTATTTTTCTTTTTAAAATTCGCCTTACCCTTCATAAACTAGTCGTCCGCGCGCTTCCGCTCTATTTCAGGAAACACTGATTGAGCGATCGGGCAAGTGCTCGTCACTCGTCACAAGAGGCGTGCCCTTAGCTCCGCCCAGGGCACGCCTCCAGGAGCTCGACTGTTTTCGGAGAGAAACGGAAAGCTGTATTTTTCTTTAATAAATACAATAAAACTAAAGACTCTTTGGAGCTATGAACGACGCTATACTACTCTATAGGTACTCAGGATCGAGATTGGGTGAAACTGTGTGTTACGTCCCGTTTCTGTAAGGGGGAGGAGCCCCGTTCGAACACGTTTGAGCAGTGAGCATGCATTGTTTGAGGATTCCGGCTGATGATGCACACGATGGATTTGTATGGTGAGTGTGTTAACTTCTATATCTTTATCTTTCTTGGAAAATTGATTATCCAAAAGACCGGTCCGATGACAATGCGCGTTACTGTAGTTAAAGCTAAAGTAACGTTATTCTTAATGTGCCGATCTACGGTTTTTCCCCTGCAGGTGTTGTGTAATTTTCTGTTCCTGTGAAAAACTGTTCCAGTGGGTGGAGTTTACATGAATAGCATTAGTTTCCCTGTTGTGGGCGTGTCCTTGAAACAACATGCAAACGAATGGACCTGAAAATATTAGTGCACGCTCCTCAAATCGCTACTTGTTTAATGGATTATTTTGAACAGGTAATGAAGTTTCAGTGTTACACATTAATTATCATTAACTGCAACAGTGCCAAAACAATGCATATTTGTGTAATATGATAAGTAGTCTGTAACATGTTTTGCTTGATTGATTACAGGCACAGGTATCTGTGGCCTAATAAAAATGGTGTGAGCATTCTGTGTCATTCTTTCTTTCTTTCTTTCTTTTTTAAATAACCAGTTTTAACCAGCCTCCACATCCCCATCAGTATCTTTTTTTAATTATTATGAATATCAGAATTATAATTAATGTCACACTAAATGCACATTTACTTCTGTCACATATTTTCTCCTATTATTATTATTATTATATTTTAATTTTTTATTTTTTTTTACATCAAAATCTTTCCACATAAGCCTGTTTGGGAATCACCAGTCTCCAATAACTAATAGATTATAATATATTGAAGGTAGAAGTCCACCCAAAAACGACAATTTTGTCATCATTTACTCTCTTTTTTTTTACAAAAAAAAAACCACTGAATGAGTCATACAACATGAGAGTAAGTAAATTTTTATATTTAAATGAACTGTCCCTTTGAAATGGACTTACAAAGTATGTCATATTAGCATATCACATTTTTCTTTATTGTATTTAGTTAACAGTCAAATACAGAGCTTAACAGTTTAGAGAATCTGAGAAAGAACTACTACTAATAAATATTATAATAATAAATATCATATATAAGCATACATTGTGTCTGTTCTTTGACCATATGTTGCACTGAAAAACAACCTCATGTCATATGTTTAAGAATGGTGTGTGCAAAACATCCAAAATGTCATGATCCATTCTGTTAATAATGTTTAACATTTGAACATCTTATTCAAAATAATTTTTCACATTTTACAACAATTACATACAATGAACCCCCAAATGTTTTTGTCAGCCAAACTCTGTTCTCCTGTCTCCTCCCGAGATTAATATTCTCTGAGATTAATTAAAGTTAATATTTCAATAATTTAACAACACACTTTAATGTTCACAGTTCTCTGATGTGGGTTAATAGTAACATGACATGCAGGTTAACAAATAACATGTTATCTTTTTAGTATGCGTTTTATTTATATTGTTTAAAATTATACTCAAAAAATTATATTGTAGATCACATAAATATTAGTTACATTCATTAAATGTTACTATGACAAGTACAGAAGTAATAGCTTTATGAATATAACTCAAATTGAAAAGACAAGGAAAGTTGTGTGAAAGTATGCATGTGGAATGAAGCAATGCAAAATTAAGTGAGTGTCTGGTGTCTGAGATATTTATTAAAACAGGGCCTCTGCACTCGATGAGAACAGCCTCCATTTATGTCCAGTTCATACAGTGATCAACTACTGTACCAGTGACTTCAGCTCTCTCATCCAATCTGAAACAGACAGTGACTTTCCATTATGATGAATATATGTGGAAACATCACAAAAGCAAATCAAAGCCATATTATAACATTGGTGTTGATGACGTATGATTTCTTATCCAAATTTAAAAATAATATTCTTGGAGTAGCTGCTGACCTATGTCCAAGAGGACTGCATCAGAACAATGCTTTAAGGTTTATGCACTGTATTAGCTTTTATAATCAATTACAAATTATAATGATTACAATATTAACATTGTAACTACAAGAAAAAATGTTCTCAGTATGTATGTAGCTTATGTAGGTAACAGAAACACTAGCTATATACAAAATAAACAAGATTTTATATATTTTATATATAGTCTTCGGGTTTTTCGAGTAGATCGTTCATCACGTGACAGCCCCATACGCTTTAACCAAAGCAGTCTGAGCCGGAAAAAGGTTAAAGCGTATGGGGCTGTCACGTGATGAAGGAACGACTCAAACCCGAAGACTCGATAGATGAACTAATAAATTCTTTTTCCGGCTCAGACTGCATTGGTTAAGTGTATGGGGCTGTCACGTGATGAACGAATGACTCGGAAAAACCCGAAGACTCAAAACAGGTGAACTATTTGACTAATTCCGCTACAGAACCTATAGGATGTTGCGCATGCGCGACTGAACGAATCACTCCCCGAGACGACTCGTTCTTCCCGAGTCACATTAAAGATTTGTTCAAAATGAACGAATCGTTCAAGAACGACCCAACACTAGAACACACTGCAGTAATAGTCACCAGTAACTACAGGCTAATCAAACTATTCAAACAACAATTAATGCCCCAACAAATTGAAATGTATAAAAAGCTAAACACGTCCAAAAATAAGAAACTATATTACCCAACTATATTGCTTATTGTTTTGCTGTGTGCCTGTAATCAATTACGCAAAACAGCTTACAGACGATTTATCATATTACACAAACTGCATTGTTTTGACACTGTTGCAATTAATGCTTCAATTGAAACTTCATTACCTGTTCAAAATAATTCATTAAACAAGTAGCGATTTGAGGAGCATGCACTAATATTTTCAGTTCCATTCATTTGTGCGTTGTTTCAAGGACACACCCACAATAAGGGAACTAATGACTATTCACGTAAACTCCACCCACTGGAACAGTTTCTCACAGGAACAGAATATTACACAACACTAGACTTCCGGCAAGATGGCGCACTGAAAAGTCACATTTATTACGTGCTCTCACATTCAATCCCGAGTTTGTTCAGTTTGACAAGTTATATTCCATCCTCACCTACTAATTTCAGAAGTTAAGCATACTCCAAGCTGTTGAAATTATGATTGATGTGGAGAAGCATTGTTACACTATGGACATAACCGTAGGTTCAAGCAAAGGGGAACAAGGTACTGACTCTGACCCACCCACACCATGTAAACCCCAGAAAGAAAAAAACCCCAAAAAGCCGACAGAGAGTGAGGAAAATTAAGTGTCCAATTCGGCTATACTGGATGCGATCAAATCACTTGGAACCAAGGTAGATGTTCAGCATGAGGAAATAAGCATGCAAATGAAGCAACACAGTGTGATGATTGTGAGCGTCGCCAAATCCATCCAAGTAAATGCAAAGGATTTAAAAGAATGCAAAGACAAAATTAAAATGATGGAGAAGCAAATTGAAACACTCACTGAAGTCAATAATGATCTGAAAGTTCATGTGTTGGAAGAGGAACGGTACAAAAGGAGGTGGTGTCTTCGCATTAAAGGAGAACTCCAGTGAACAAATAAGAGAGGATGTGATTCAACTTCTTGGCAAGATAACGCCTGAGTTTGCTGCTACCATGTCGGAGGCTGTGGATGTCGTGCATCGGGTGGGAAGGAAGGAGCCCAGATGTCCCAGAGAGGTGATCATTCTCTTCGCCCGCAGGATGGTCCGCGATGAAACATGGAAAAGAACCAAGACATCTTCGGTATGCAAGGAAGGTGGCATCCGCTTTGCGGAGGATTTGACGATGGAAGATAGACCTTTGAGACGTGAGTTATGGCCAAGAATCGAACAAGCCAGAAAGGAAGGCAAAGCAGCTGGCTTTAGAGGCCCATTTGGGTACATCGAGGGTAAAGTCAAAAGTCACACTGTTTGTTTTTACAAGAAACTCATTCAGAGTCGGCAGATGCTGCCTTTTGGAAAAAAACAGTGGGGGGATGACGTTATTCAGTCATGGGTCAAGTCAATCTGCAGCTGTCGCTGTTTGCATGAATAAATGCCCTGGTAAAATTATTACTTACAAGGCTGATATAGATGGTCATTGGCTCGCAGTAGTTTTACAATTACACAAAATATTTTTCATCTTGGTTAATGTGTATGGATATAATGTCCGCACACAGAATAACGATCTTCTGGAGACAGTAACAGATGTCATAAATGACCTCAAAGCTAGATATCCTACAGAATATGTTTTAATTGGTGGCGATTTTAACATAACACCAGACGAATTTATGGATAGTGTAGAAATAGATGATCCAATAAATATGAAATTTCCCTCCCCCGATCAATTCTCAATTGGAAACATTAACAATGAACAAGGTAAACTAGAAATTAATTTTGATGATCTCCTTGTCCAAGGGATCCAGAAGGACTGGAGCCGCAAGGTTAAAAAACAAAAGAAGAAAGAACAACGCAGAGGGAAACAGGAAAATAAGAATAAGAATAAGGAAAATAATCCAATTACTTAGGAAACAGGAAGTTCTGAATAAGAAACCCTACAAACATGTCCTTGCGGGGCCCATGCAAGCTTTTTGTGGGCACAGTGTGCTAGGGCCAGCCCACACCAAACCTAAACAGGCCCAGTGTGGGCTTGCCCAGGTGAGGCCCACAGCTTCACCACTCGCATCTTCCCGTCTGACTTCAAACAGTTTCCAAAGACAAGTAAATGACCCCACCCCCCCCCACCCCGCCGCGGGGGGTGTGGTGTCGCAG